GCATTGTACTGGTACCCATTCGGGCCCTGGCGCGTGACCACTAGAGTTTGGCCCTACATCACGCTTGCTATGCTCACGATCGTCATGCGCCCCACCGCAGCAATCCTTTGGGCCGTTTTTGGCCTCTCTCATCTTCTAAGACACCCTAAACCTCTTGATCTAATTTTTAAAACTGTGTTACCTGCAGCTTTACCCGTTCTTGCTCTATGTACCTTGATTGATTCCCTGTATTATCTTCGTCCCACATGTGCTCTGTGGAATTTCTTCAATTTCAATGTTCTCAAAGGTGGTAGCGCTCATTTCGGCGTTCATCCTTGGTATTGGTACTTCCTTGAGGGCTTACCATCTGTTCTTACCATCCAGATCCTGCCTATCGTTCTGGGTTTGCTCAGCCCACTTCGCCCCACTTTACTGCCCCTCTTGGCTTCCGCTGTTTACGTGCTTGCCCACACTCTCCTGCCTCATAAGGAGCAGAGATTCCTCCTGCCAATCATCCCTCTGCTCTGTATCTATGCGGGCCCATTCTTTGCCGCGAGGAAAGCATCTCCATGGCGTCGTGTCCTGCTCTATACCATGTTGGCTGTGAATGCGGCCATAGCTCTTTATTGCGGACTTCGTCATCAGGTTGGCCCCTACCATGCGGCTGACTCAGTTCTCACACTAGCCGCCAAAAAAGGAGGAAATGCGTCGGTTGCAGCGTTGATGCCATGCTATACAATCCCTGGACATAGCTACTTCCACGATGGTGTCGATAAAATTCGCATGTTGGACTGTTCACCGTCTTTGGACACATCTGTACCGAACAAGGAAATGACGGCCGATGAAGCGGATAAATTCCACAAGAACCCGCGCAACTGGGTGGACAGACACTGGAATGAAGTTCGCTGGCATACGTATGTCCTGATGTTCGAGAAGACCTACCTGCAGTTGGCCGATTGGTTCCGCCGTTTCCACTACACGGTGTGCGATAGGGTTTTCCACGCAGATATTCCGATTTCGGATCGTCAGGACCGCCATATTGTTGTGCTGTGTAAGACTTAGATAAGTCGGTTTGATACTCCAGCTGCCCTACTCTTTCTTATCCACTTTTATCCAATTCGTTGCATCGTTTACTTCCATTACTGCGTATATCAAACTTGTAATCTCATTTTATGTTGTTCATGTTTATGTTTTTGTAGTAATAATATTTAGTGGGACCAACAATAAATATGTAGTGGACAGGTGATCAAAAATGCTTGGATTGATGAGGTTGTAAAAATATGAGTGGGAATATGTTACCCTGGGTAACGACATGGGTAGCTGTTTCATCACAGAGTTGCTCATGATCGAAGAGGTTTAGTCGCAAATGGGGCAAGTCGCATAAAATTAAAAACATTTTCAAAAATTTAAATTAGATTGTGCTATTGCAATCATACCTCAGGATTGTGCCTTCCAGTCTTTGAATCGCTTGAAGCACATTTTTGTGATTCCCTTTATGGGTTGACTGAGGGACCATACCCACCTGTATCGAAATGTTTGTAGGGAGAGAGAAAATAAAATTGTTGAGTGGAATGGTGAATGACATTCATTTTCGGTAGGTATTTTGTAGGCATTTTCGGTTTACATTCGTGTAGGGGATCTTGGCTACGGCGCTCAACCATTTGCTTACCCAACGACATTGGTCACACGTACGCCTATTGTTTGGGGTAATTTAATGCCACAACGTTGCGCGAGTAGAACAAAGGGTGTGCGAAATGCAGATGGCAGTCTTCAATATTTCCCTGTCGTGGGGTGTCTGGATGTTCCATATTTGGAGTTTTCTCTTTGCTGATTGGTAAAAATTCTGTATTTTTAAATTCTATCAGTAAGCATATTTTTTTAGATTTCTATCAATAAGCATATCATCCTATTGGGTCTGACCCCTCATAATTCCCTTTTTTTCCTTGGAAAAGGACTTA